GTGTGTGTGTGTGTGTGTGTGTGTGTGTGTGTGTGTGTGTGTGTGTGTGTGTGTGTGTGTGCGTGTGTGTGTGTGTGTTGTGTGTGTGTGTGTGTGTTTGGTCCCCTGCACCATATTCGCCATTGCGTTTGGTACAGATTTATTGCAACATCTCCTCCCCCCCCCTCCTTGGCCCCCTTTTCTTCTGGTTTACGCGAGTCTATTCTTCGTTTAATTGCAAGAGTAACAAACGCACAAAAGGAAAGAAAAAGGTGCACGCAAGGAAGCGCCCGCAGTTGGGTGACCGTCCAGCCACAGACACACACACACACACGTTACACACCGCACACAGACACACACACATCCACACATCCACACATCCACACACACGCACATCCACACACACACGATCAACACCACATGCAGTGACCACAGTGGCTACTGCGCATGTTTGGTGGAAGTTTTTGGCTTCTTCGCGGCGAGCGGACCGCCATTCTCAATCACATCATCGTCGTCGTCGTCAGCAGCAGCAGCCGCTGTTGCGTCGCGTCTGTTCACGCGGATGAGATAGTTGAGCTTCTCGTGCGTTTCACCCGTCCGCAAGTGCTCAACAGGGCCCCCTTCCGTCGTTCATGTATGCATGTGTGTGTGTGTGTGTGTGTGTGTGTGTGTGTGTGTGTGTGTGTGTGTGTGTGTGTGTGTGTGTGTGTGTGTGTGTGTGTGTGTGTGTGTGTGTGTGAATGTAAGAGGGAGCCATCCGCTGCAAGTATCGCATCTCAGAATGTCCAACATCTTCCATAAATCCGTTCATTCACCACCATCATCCACCACCTCCTCCTCCACGACCACCACCACCATCACTGCCATCACCCACCGACGATGGGTTCCGTGACGGCCTGGAAGCGGAGAATGAGGACGCGACGCGGGCGTGCGGATGTGTTTGGCGGCGACGAGTGCGGCGTGCAGCTGTGGTGGATCTCAAGCCCACCAGCAGGCAGCACAATCGTTTTCTGAAATGTGTACGCGTGTATGTGTGTGAATGTGTGAGGAGGTGTGTCGTGTGAATGCTCCTGCAAAGCGTACAAACGCACATGCACTCATTGCGCAAACGCCACTAAACAACGCAACGCATGAGCACACACATACCTTGTTTCGCACAAACTCTCTCTGTAGGTCGCCCGGATCCACCTCAAACAAGTGGTGCTACAGAGAGAGTGTGTGTGCGGATGTGTGTGTGTGTGTGTGTGTGTGGTGTGTGTGTGTGTGTGT